AATAAAAAACAATCAAAACACGCTTTTTTTCATCCGTCTTTTCCTTACCGCTAAATTTGTCAATCCTTTTTCAAGATAACAGCTGCTCAAATAAGCAATAGTAAAGGTCATTAGCCAGGTCTTATCATTATTGACTTTAAATGTGCTGAATATTAGCCCACCTGCGAACTTTTTGTCCGTTAGTTTGAATAGATGCGGCTTTAGTTGCTTATGTTTTCACAAAATAGTCTCAATAATCTGAAACGTTAATTTTACAGGCAGAAAGGACGACGGCGTCAGAAGGTCTGTTCCTTAAAGCTAATTGTGTTCTACGTTGTAGAGAAGACTTGATGATATGCAAGTTTGTTAATTCTGGTGCTACAAAAAACCTTTGAAAGACTTACAACTTCGTGACGAAGCCTCGTATTTGATCGAGCTACAGTCTTCGCTTTTTTTTTCTACGACTAAAGACCAGAAAAAAATCAAAAATCCACAAGGAAAAAGAAAAAAAAGTCAAGCACTACAGATAATTGAAGTTTAACTTTTTCCAGATGTATATGAGAGACAGGAGAGATTACGAAGAGGAAAAGGTCGTGGTCATAAATCAAAGTCGATGAAAATATTCATCCACGCTTGAGGTCATTAAATATTTATATTTGACGTAAGATAATCACAGGCAGGGTATCAAGCCAATCAAGACAAAATAGAGGAAGGTGATCAAAACCATTATTTTTAAGACGAGACGGTCGACCTGCTTTGACTGGATCTTGGTTTCAAATCGAGTGATGGAAAACTGGACGAGGGAATCTAATGGCACGGACTCCAACACCAGTAGCTCAAACCAAACTATTCTTGTCTTCCAACTTATCTTCTACACTGCTATCATCTCCGTTGGTACTTTTGGGAACATCTTTATATTCTGTTCCATAATGTACAAGAAAGGACGGAAAATAAGCGATTATTTTATCATCAATTTAACAATCGCGGATCTTCTTTGCTGCGTGATCAGTATACCGTTTGATGTCATGGAACGGATAGCCCCTAGGGCTATTCATGTGTAAAGTTGTATATCCATTACAGACTGTTATWATTGCTGTCGCAGTTGGCACGCTCCTGTTTATGGCATTCGAACGACRTCGAGCAATAATGAAACCTTTAAAGCCTAAAATCTCAGGGAAATATATCCTGTTGATAATCATCYTTCTTTGGATTACCTCAGTTATTCTTGTTTCCCCATATATGGTCGTACTGAAGATGGACGGGTCGATGTGWGTCGAAAACTGGCCAGATCCTGCATTCGTGAAGTCTTTTACAGCCAGCGTTTTTGTCCTTTTATACATCGTTCCCTTGAGCATTATTACCGCTGCGTACATTCGTGTGGGGGCTCGACTTCGTCGTGGAAGTCCTTCATTTAGAAACACGTACGGTGCGTCTACTGCTGGGCAAAGGGTCTTAAAACTGCATGCCAGACGAAACATCCACGTTGTTAAGATCTTCGTTTGCGCTGTTATAGCATTTGCAGTCTGTCTTTTACCTTACCATATAATGTGGCTATGGTACGACTTTGGCGATGCTAAATATTATGAACATTACAACGACCTGCTGACCTTTGCTAATATACTCGCCTATAGCAATAGCGCTATTAATCCGTTCATTTTCGGATCACTAAGCAGAAAATTCCGAAGTTGCAGTTTTCTTTGGCGACGACGGTCTAGCAGTTCAGCGGGTTTTCCCAACAGGATACTCCAAGATGGACCATCTTTGGGGAAGAATTTCAAGAGATATCGTATATTTGATCGTAAATCGTCGAATCGTAAAAGCTTGATAGTTAGGATTAAGAGCGATGACGTTACGGTTAGGAATGGATTGAACAAGAACGAACACGCGGGTAGAAAAGGGTGTGACAGACAGACAGAGGTTAATTGTCCTATCGTTATGATAACGTCACTATGACAACGACCATCCAAACCCCAGAAGATGAGGGGCGTCCAGTTTTTCAAAGAGGGCTCTGCTCTGCTCTGCTCTGCTCTGCTCTGCTCTGCTCTGCTCTGCTCTGCTCTGCTCTGCTCTGCTCTGCTCTGCTCTGCAGAGCATGCACATAACATGACTACTTAGTGACATGGGCTCTTGCCAACCTCCAAATGTTTCCATTCAAATCTTTAAAAAAGCTTTAATTTTATATTTAATGCTATTTCTCCTATTTTCTACGTTGTAAGCTTAAACTCCCCCTTTTGCTAACACTAAGTTGTGCTTTTAACATCTGCAGCTCATTTTGGCAGAACTTCAGGGTCACGTGACCTGTTCTTCTTTTTCWTTTCTTGATTTAACAAAAACTACGTATATAATCTCACAATAAAATTATTTAACAAATCTTGAATTATAATAAGCATTCTAATGTTAAATGTACCTGGGTTAATAATTCAGTTTATTGTTTTGGCCATGGACATGATGAATAAATAAATAAATAAATAAAGCTGAATAATCTAGTGCTTTAGAAATATTTGTACAGTGATTAAAAGCAGTGGGAAAAAATAATTTATTATCTAATATATGGTATTCCTTCCTTCCTTCTTTCATTCAGTTCTCTTTCTTTCTTTCTTTCTTTNTTGGCACTTTTATTTTCCTGGTTAGTTTGTCTGTATGACCATACTTCAACATAAAAGATATTTTATCATGACTTTTGAAGGTCATTGATTTTTAGGCTCTATTTTACTGCGTTCTTTCTTTCTTTCTTTCTTTCTTTCTTTCTTTCTTTCTTTCTTTCTCTCTTTCTTTCCTTTCTTTAATTCAATTTAATATTTTCTTTTCTTTCCTTTCCTTCCCCAGTCTTATCTTAAGCCCCGTCCACACGTATCCGGAAATTTTTGTATCCGCAATTTTTTTTTTACGGATACGGGTTGCGTCCACACGTGTCCGCAAATTTTTGTGTCCGTATCCGTAAATTTTACGAAAACGGATACGTGTGGACGGTGAAAACGATTCGAATACGCTGCGTGTGGACGCAAACATTTTCGTATCCGCAAAAAAAAAAAAAAAGATTGCGGGCGCACAAATTTCCGGATACGTGTGGACGGGGCCTTACTTAAATCAATTTTTCTTCGATTCAGTCACTGATTCATCCCCTGATTTATTCATTAATTCATTAATTCGCTCATTCATTTACTCATTTATTCCTTTTTTCCTTCTTTCTTTCCATGATAATTCTTTTTTTCATTACATCTTTCTTTCTTTACTTCACTCACTTATTCATTCACACTTCACGCTCTTTCTTTCTTTACATTATAAACAAATTTCATGTCAAAGTTTAAGCCTTTTAATAGAGAGTTTTAGTTTACGTTCACGGCTTATGTGCAACGTCAGTTGACCATTTWAAAAATATTTTAAATATCTTAAAAAGAATCGCAAAAAAGTCCAAGTAGTAGAAAAACAAAAGAATATTTGTCTTTGGTGAGAAGGTTTGCAAAAGATAAAGTTTAATACAGGAAAACGATGAAAACGTGGTCACGTTTGCCGCTTTTGCGGGGAGAAAAAAAGTCAATCTAAAACTCTCTAATTGTTCTCGTACGTTTTTTGATTCTGGTACCGAATTTAAATTCCTCACAAATAATAATAATAATAATAATAAAGCGGGATTCTTTGATCAGCATACTAGATCCGACAAAATCAAATTTCGAAGTCTATAATGAACCTAACACATCATCTAATTCAAGTTGTCATCGATGACCATGCAGAGCTAGTGCTAAAGGATTGTTTACTTCAAAACTTAAAAATACAAAAACACCAACTGCTCTATGTCAGAAATTAGATTTACCAAAACGAAATAGGCGGAGAATTTCATTGAGTTCATAAAAACCGCACAGAATGAGGTTTTATCAGATATTTTGAAAGTAAAATCCTAGCCATGTTAAAATTATAAAGCAAAACAATAACTACTATAACTGGAACTATATGGAGTATGTTAAAATTGAAGATATATATATGAATTTTGACAAAGCTGGGAGAAAAGAAAACTTCGTTGGAGGCAAGAGACTGCCTCTACAATAACGAATTTTCCTTCAAATTAACAGTTTTACTATAATTCCAACCAGCTCTTTCCAGCTATTGTAATTACTCTTCTAGTCTATAGTGAGTTTTGGATTTAAATTATAAAAGCTAGCTTGTTGTTGTTGAGCATTTCAAGAGGTATTTGGAGAATTTGTAGGAAACTTTTTACGATTTAAAAAAAAAAAAAGAGTCATTACGAGTGCAAATTAATAATTCATGTATTTTTATTATTGGAAATAAAAACCCTTAAAGTAATTGAGTCATTCACCGTTGCGTTCAAAGCGCTCGAGTATTCCTCTCAAAAGCGAAGTCGTTAGACTCTCTACACTTTTTTAATTWAAAAAAAATCTACAATCAATAACTCAAGTATACATATCTTGAGATAAAACATATTCATATTTCCCCTTTGGTTTTACGTTGGTAAAGGATTACGAGTAAGTTACAAGTAATAATAATAATAATAAATTTGTTTACTTCACACAGATCAAGCGGTGAATATTTTTTTGGTTATCTGAGATTTTTGAGCATGCGTACTACGTATCAGATGGCTACAAAACATGGCGGCCGCATGCATGGTTGGAAATGTGGCAAAAATCAATCGTTATTATATGTCTTTTATCTGTTTTCTTTATTTTTAAAGCAAGAGGAGGTGATTGACTAGAAGGAAATTTGTCAAKAAAAAAGTTGAATATTTTGGAGCACAGCGATGCAAAAGAAATCAGTAGCTGTTACACGTTTCAAAGCTTTATCTTTTCTATCAGTGGTCTTATCCGGCACATCCCGGCCCTCTACCTTGATAATATCATGCAACGTGTGTTTTCATCTTACTATTTATGTTCACGACTATTTGCGACACTGGTCGAATTCATTACCATCGGCGTTGTTGTGGACAATATCAAAACAACAAGAACTAGGTTTTAAGTACCATCATCTTAACTTGTTTAATCATGATCATATCCGAAAATAACCGGTTATTTTAAGCCAAAAAAATACTATTATAAGACCTTTTTGATCCGTAACCATAGCAAATATTTCTAAACAGGTGTAGCGGATGCGATTTATTATGTGATGCCGTGTAATAGAAACTGATCGTTCCTTGAGGCTTCACACCATCACATGACAGCAGCCATATTAGATGGCAGGAACAATATAAATGTCTTATATGAGAAAGAATTATATTCCAGAGAGCAAATGCATTTTATTATTCAGTCATCWAACCACAGGCAGTCCAAGCTGTATTATGGGCGCCGTCACCTGTCTGTTTTGAAAATATAAACATACGCTAGCCAGGTTATTTTAGAATTACGAGATCCCTTCCTGGCCTAGCACCGGAGATACCATACTAGGAATCGGTTGTTTAGATCAATCCTGGACAAAGGATCGACAGAAATTGACCCAAAGCAGAACGAGAGTCTACTTGAGTAAACTTCCCGTTTTATTGAGAAGTTCCTGTTTTAAAAGCAATATTTTATATCTGCATTAATATTGAATTCGTATATAATAAAACGAGGACAAAATAAACAAACTTTTATTGCGGTGATTTCGTGTGTCAGCGCTGCTCTCACCAAACAATAACACCTAAAACTTTTTTAGAAACTTTCTATAGAATTGGTCAAAGTATACATGAGAAAATATCCTATTTATATCCTTGCTATTGATGGGTTGCAAGCATTTACAAGCGAGTCAAAAGACAAAAACATGGCGACCGTTTTGGTTAGGAGAAGTGTCTTGAAGTTGTCATGTATATGTTATCTTTTATTAAATAATTTCTTTGACAAAGGTATGTTTTTGTGATTCTGCTTGTGAAGCCCTTCCACTCCTAGGAATAAAGAACGTACTAATAAACGTTTTATCATGATTTACAAATTTCCTCCAATCAGTCGATAATTTTGAATTAGTATTAAATTCAAGGAAGACCCCCAGGGTGGGATTTGTCGGTATTACAAAGCAAATAAGTTTACAATATTTAATATATGTTGTCGTTTTCGCTATTGCTTGTTTTCGATATACAAGCTTACTTATTTTCGATTCTATAAGTTGTACAAAATATAACGAACACTGACTCTGAAGTATGAATCCAAAGTACTTCATACTCTCCATCGCATTTAGTTTTAAAATAAACATATAACAAACAACTAGGATTATAAATATCATAAACAACTAGAATTGTAAATATTAAATTAGTGTAAAAATAAAAAGCATTACTGATGCTCGTATATACTTATTTCAATAAAGTTAGTCACCTGAAAGCTACAAAGTTGAGACCGACAAGGATTATGGGTAGATACATTTTACATGTTTCAACCGCTTGATAACTGTTGATAAACTTGCACATCAATCAGTTCCAGTCTCGCCTCTTCTGAACATCTTCAAGCTGAGCCGCAGTTTGAATCAAAAAAGTTTTGTTTTTTGTTTGATATGTAAAGCTTCACATGATCCTCAGTAATCTCAGCTTTCTAGGTTTTTGGTGACTAACTTCATTGAAATAAGTATATTAATATTTGTCCTTCTAAAAATCGTCTGTTTGAACGATTGGTTATTAAAAAAGCCTAAAACCCAATCAGAGGGCTCATAGGCGCGCGCGCCGTTCTTTTTCTAGATTGGCGGGAAATTGAGAACCAATCGAATCGCTGTTTTGTTTTTTGTTGTCGTTGTTCTTTTTTTTTTTCTTTTTTTTTTTTTTGTTTTTGTTTGT